ACTGTTATTCCCACCCAGCCACCCATCACATTCTCTCCAGCTCTTCTGGTTGCCAAGAGCACCCCTCTCTCTCCGGCCTCTTTCTTTGGGAAAGCAGTCAGATCAATGCTACCAGCGTTGCTGGAAAGGGCCTATCGATCACTCCTCTGGACCTCCACTAATCAGCCCTTGGACCCCTCCATGGTTTTCACTCCTCCATGTGTCTTCTCCTCTTGTTAGCATGTAAGCTCCCTGAGGGCAAGGGCTATCCCCTTTTGTATTTGTACCCCCTGTGCTTTTCATAGTTCTTGCCATATCATAAATGCCTTTTCCATTCATTCATGTAATTCTTAAGGAAAAGCTCAAAACCTCTGAGCGATATTTTTCAGAGACCAATTATTACTAATGAACAAACAAAAATCATAGCCTTAGAAGAGACCCTGACAGTGATCTCATCCAGCCCGACTTGTTGGTTCTCATCTTCTACCTTCTCACTCTCTGCTCACCTCGATCCTCCCTCTGCTTCAGGCCCCGACTGAAGTCTTTCTCCTCTATTCCCATCTTCAGGTGTCTTTTCCTCTCCCGAGCTCCTGAAGCGTGGGGCGCCCTGCCTTCTTTTGGCCCAGAACCCAGTGAAGCCTGGACTTATTATGCACCCTGTTTCATGCCCTTACATTGGGTCTCCCAAACTGCTGTTTGATCTTTCAAAGGCTCAGTCGATGCCAAATGGCTAGGAGGAAAGGCTTATCTTTTACAGGGCAAAACCTCCCTCTGAACTTTCGGGAATCTGTCATTTTGTAGAATCAGGGCTTCCAGATTGCTTTAGGGTTAACGGTTTAAAGACAAAAACTTGGGGATGGGGTGGGGATTAAGCTTTTTGAATGGAAACTTTTCCCAACAGGTCAGATGTCTTTCATAGATTTAAAGCTGGAAGGGACCTTGGAGGGCATCTAATCTAAGATTGTTTTATTTTGTTGTAATTTAACTTTTTTTTAACTTTTTAAAAATTTTTTTAACTCATCTTCCCAAGTTCATTTGACCTCAGACACTTACTAGCTATGTGACCCTGGGAAAGTCACTTAACCCGCTTTGCCTCAGTTTCCTCACCTGTAAAATGAGCTGGAGGAGGAAATGGGAAGCCACTCTAGTAACTTTGCCAAGAAAACGCCCAATGAGGTCATGACCAGTCGAACACAACTGAAATGACTCACTACCACCATCAGCACCCAGCACGTTTCAGGTACTCTTCCATAAACAACAAGCAAATGGCAAACCACTGCACATGGCAGTCCTCTGGTTCACCCTGGACTTTCTTACATTATAAATCCAACCACCATCTCAACAGGGCTTCTATTACTCCCATTGAATTCTAAGCTATAGAATAATTAAACCAGGGCAAACATGTGTTGTAATATCAATATTTTATTTAATATACAATGCATGGGTGCTTGTTAGTTTATTTATTAAAATGACCTGTACTTCCCTCCCTCCTTTGCAGAGGTGGTGCCCATAGCTACAGACCACTGGATACACTGTCAACCTTGATCATTCCAGTATTTGGGTTTGCTGAACTGCTTTTTCCCCCCTTCTTTAATTTTATTCTCTGCTACAAGGGACAGTTCTCTGGGGACAGGAAAGATGTGTTTGGAAATTAGCAATATAAAAACATAAGATCAATAAAAATTCATAAAAACCTCAGTTCCTTTTCTGGAAAAAAAATGGCCATTTATTTACACGAATGAAGCTAACCTTTTTCACAATCTTTTTTGAAATCTCAGCCTCTTAGATATCCAGTTCCCTTGTGGTTTTCTTGCATAGATTTATTCAACAAGGAAGAACAGGCCCAGATGGACCCAGCCCCGTTCAAAGCCTACAATTCTGTCCTCATTAGAGAGGGGATTGTCAGGGGAACCCTCCTGGCCATGTCACTCAGCTCAGGGGCTGCCTCTCCCCTCCCAGACAGGGAGACCCTGAAGGCATAATTATACAGAGGAAGAAGCTGAGACAGCCTGATGGGGCAGCCAAGCAGAAAACCTGAGAAAGAATCCAGGCCGCTTTGACGCTTTGTCACGCCCAGATTTATTTAGGAGGGGCCCCTTCAAATGGAAGAGAAGACCTATAAGGACTGATCCCTTTACCTGAATTACTTCATGTTGGATATATGTTTATAGACCCTTTCCCCCACTAAAACCTCTTTCTTATCCAAATGGCTGCGCATTTCAACATAAGAAGTAATGACTTTGCCTCTCCTTGGTACACAAAAATCCTGCAGGACCAAGGGAGGAGGGGCTGCCATGGAGGGCAAAGAGGCTATGTTTATGGCGGGAGTGAAATGTCTGGTTCACCTTTGTACCACTCCACTGCTGAAAAGAGCTCTGCCTAAGGTAGGTGTTCTGGAAATGTTTACTGAATAAAAGAATTTACATTTTTATGACAGACCACTGAGCCAATAAAAGCATACCCGACTTCTCAGGGAAAGGAGCTCCCCAAATACTGAAAATGGATCACACAGCAGTGAGCAGCAAGTTTGGATTACTTTGTTCCAGGTGTGACCATGAACGTTTTCACTACATCCTGGGTCAGAAGGTAATGGCAGAAAGCACAGGACACTGGGAGGTAGTCAGCTGGAGCTCTTCTTCTGGGTCTCTAACTAAACCACTGAAACCATGGGCAAATTCACTCATTCACCTAAGAGACGGATCATAGACCCGGAGGCAGAAGGGACCTCGGAGGACAGGTCATAGGAGGCACTGAGGCCCAGAGAGGGTGAGGATTGAGATCACAGAGCTAGGGGTACCTAGGCAGTGCAGTGGATGGAGCGCCAACCATGGAGTCAGGAGGATCTGAGTTCAAATCTGGACTCAGACACTTCACACTAGCTGTGTGACTCTGGGCAAGTCACTTAACCCCAATTGCCTAGAAATTCCCCCCCTGCCAAAAAAAAAAAAAGATCATAGAGCTTACTCTTTCATATGACAAATGAAGAAACAGAGTCCCAGGGAAGAAGGTAAGATAGAGCTGGAGGGAAGCCTATCGATTCACAGATTCATGAATCTAGAGCTATAATGGCTCTTATAGGCCAAACTTTCCATTTTACAGATGAGGACACTGACGCCCAGATGGCAGAAGCTACATACCCAAGGACTATAGGTATGTAATGAACAGAACTGAGATTCAAACTCACGTCTTCCACCTCCAAGTCCAAAGGCACCTGATTCCTCAGCTGAGCCACTAACCTACTTTCCCCAAAACCCTCAATAGATATTTGTATGTTGTACCTTGACCCCTTCTACCTTTGCCAGCTGCCCGTGTACACTTTCCAATCACCCCCTCTCTCCAGTGTCCAGGGTCATCCTTGGTTCCTTCAAGCAAAGTCTCTCTCCTTATTCTTTGCCAATGAGGCCAAACTGGCTTGCACGCAGAAGCCCAGACCAAGAGAAAACTTCCATTTTAATGATTGAAAATGGCTTCAAGGCTATCAAGGAATCTCAGAATGGGCCTTTTTCTGAGAAATGGCCACTTATTCTACCACTCACAGATCAGTACTATTTGTGAATCAGAAAACAGATTTACAGCATGCCTTAAAAAATTGAGTGCTGATATCTTTAATTTTATAAGGATGGGTTCTATATGTAGAGAGCAGGAAGAGAGAAAGATGACAGGTAAAAACACCAGTAACCATTTTTGTATCCCGATGCTTATCAAACAGCAGGCACTTAATAAATGTGTGTTGATTGACTGGTGATCAGCCATTTTATTACATGAAGCAACAATAACACATGTAAATGAAAGCCCCTCATTCTTCCCAGCACAAGCATGAACATATTAGCAATAAACCTTCTTGGATACACCAGGGAGTCAAAGCTGGTGGGTGAAATGGATCCCTCCCACTTCACTGCTTCATCTACTCTGGTCAATTCCACTCCAGATTCAACAATGCCTTTGAAATCCTTCTGGGTGCTAGGGCAATAAAACCCCACAAGTAAATTGCTCCTGTCTTCAAAGGGCTTACCTTACACTCAAGGGGCAAACAACAGGTGAATTCAGACTACAGGCAAAGTCAGTATCAACTTCTTAGAACAAGAGAGAGAACAGTAGTAACAATGTAACAAGAGTAACAAAGGAGATGGAAGCAGGAAGTGAATCCTAAGGTGGGCTCCCAAACTGCGCTGGGAGGGAACCTGGCTGAGGTTCAATCACTGAGAAATGGGACCTCGGGTCTAAAGCTGGATGGGTCACCTGGAGGGGAAAACTGAGGCCCAGATTGGTGAAGTGACTTAGGCCTGTCTATTTAGAGCTAGAAGGGATGTTAGAGGTCATCTAGAAAAAGAAATTTGGGGAAAAAAAAGAAAGAAAAAGAAACTAGGGGCCCGAGAGGTTCAGTTATTCAGAATCATAGATTTATAGCTGAAAAGGACCTTAGAGGTCATCTAGTAAAGTCCAATTGTGTCATTTTATAGACCACAGACCCCAGAATTAGACTTGGTAGGGACCTGAGGTCATCTTGACAAGGAAATTGAGGTTCCAGGATACTGGGCGATTTGTACAAAGTTACACAGGTGTGAAGTGGCAAATTGGAGATTCAAACCTGGAATTTCTGACTCCAGAGCCAACGCTCAATACGCTATACCATGGAGGCTTTCTGGACATTGTGGTTGGAACTTCAGAGAGGTTAAAAGGTTCTCCACTAGGGTCAAAGGAAGACTCTGCCACCGAAGAGGCAGTGAGAAGGAAATAGGAGAAAGAGGCCCATGGCCAAATCTTTTCCCATAAATACATCACAGAGTGACAATCCCCGCCAGAGAGCAGCCTGGAGGCAGCAGCCTTGGCCAGGCCCTTCTGGGCAGAGTGTGTCAACTCCTCCACTCTGGGCTAGCTCTCTCCTTCATGCAGACCTTCCGGATTGCTTCACGAAGGCGCTGCTCTTCTGCCTAAGCAGAAGCCCATCCTCCTGGTTTAGCAAAGTGAAAAATGGCCCAAACACACAGACACCAAAAGGAACACCGAAATGAATTACTCACCACTTTCAGCTCTGGCACAGATCGACTTAATGTCCATTCTTGGCTATTCACGAAGGCATCTGTAAAACAGCAATGGGAGGGAAAGACAGATGTCAGAAAGCTTGGATTCGCGTAAGAGTCCCAGATTATCTCCAGACAATGACTACCCCTCCCACCAGACAAAAGTTTGCTGAAGTAGAGAGAGGAAATGAAAACCAAAAAGCAGAACCAGACTACTGTCATTGTTAGATGATACATGCCTGGGCTGTTTTATTCTGAGCTGGCTAGTATAGGATGCATTCTCCAATGGGACCAGGCTGGCGGCTCCACGCACAAGGGCTTATCCAACTTGGCGCTGAGAGCAAGTTGTCCCCAACTGCTTTACATACGTGTGTGTGATCAGTCTCAGGTGGCCTGGATACAGCAGTGTTGTGTGTGAACTATGACTTCCTCATCCTCAAAACATACCTCAAAGGACAAAGTCCACTGAGACCAGTTGATCAGCATTCTCTTGAGTGTTCTAACCAAAATCCCAACATAGAGTGAGTCAATGAAGAACTCAAGGATCATTTTTACATCTTTAGTATTTAAGGGTCTCTGATTTTCCCCATGTCACTATTTTCTTCTATAACAATAGGACAGACTTCAGTTTTAACATCTTTTAAGTCCTGAGTGGGAATTAGATGTGTTAGTGCCCCACCCCCCTCCACCACATACTTATTTTATACAAACTCAGACTAGAGGTAGTATGGCATAGTGGACAGAGAGCCAATTTGGAGTTAGGAAGACCTGGGTGCAAGTCTGGTCTCATATGTACTAGCTGTATGACTCTGGGAAGTCACTTAATCTTCCACTGCTCTAGGCAACCCTCTGAGAATTCTGATTTGCAGAGGAAATAGTATTGGATAAGGGGTTTTCCCACACAGGACTTCCTTATTCCAATGAAATCACAGGTCCAGTCCCTATCTCAAGTTCAGCATATACTAGCCTGTGTGTGTGTGTGTGTGTGTGTGTGTGTGTGTGTGTGTGTGTGTGTGACAGCCCCAACAGAGGGTAAGCCCTTCGAGGGCAGGAAATGTTTCATTTCTGCCTTTGCATTCATTCACAATACAAGCGCTCAGCACAATGCCTGGCACACAGTAGATGCTTAATCAATGTTTATCATTTTGAAATGAACACCAAGCACAGCGCTTGGCAACACTGAACAAATATAAATATCTGTTGGTGAATGATTGCTTGCTTAAAAAACAGATGGGTTCTTAGGCGGAGGGTGCTCACAACTGGGAACATACCTCACCAGAGCAAACAAGCTCCATCACTATGGATTCAAAACGTGAATTCAAACACACACAGCCACTGTCAGCTGGACACACATTCACAACTCCTTAGCCACGTCCATAAAAGGAACCAAACCACATGTGTTTACACTGAGGAATTCAAAGAAGGAAGACTAGCTGTAGTCACACAGCAGCAACCTCTTCAATCGAGGTTGGAAAAGTGAATGCCACTCACATTCCTAACAACTGGCACCCACACAAGACGCCTCAGTGGTGCAGTACATCGAGCACTGGGCTTGGATCCAGGAAGACCCGAGTTCAGATCCAGTCACAGACATAACCTGTGTGGCCCTAGGCAAGTCACTTGACCCATCTCATTCTCAATTTCCTCATCTGTAAAATAGGTATAATAATAGTCCCAACTTCCCAGGGTCGTTGTGAGGACCCAATAAGACAAAACTTGAAAGAGCTCTATGCACCTTAAAGTATTCCACAGAATGTGAGTTTTAAAGTTCACCTAGTCCCTTATGGATATGCCATGATCTGAGTCTCCCAATAGGCCTCAGGTCATTATTTTCAGAGTTAGCTTAGGGATACAAGAAAATAGACTCCATTCTAGCAAATGACACATGTTCTGGACTCCCACGGCTCTCAATATGTCCAAATACTCCATTCATAGCGAGACAATTAGTGATGCTCTGATCGACTCAGCACCAGGTTCAGCGTGCCCCTCTGCCAATGACATCAGAGCTCAGTGCAGAGACTTGGAGGCTTCCTGGATGCTGGTGGTGACCCTCCCAGTGGCCTCACTGAGCTACCATTCAAGAAATTCTCTGATCTTGCAAATTACATTACACATGGCATTTATTAATAATATCAAGCATTTATATCGCAAATTCTTTGCAAAGGGCTATACAAACATCACCTCATTTTATCTTCACAACAACCCTAGTAGGTATGTGCTACTGTTACCATTTTGCAGATGAGAAAACTGAGGCAAATAAAGGTTAAGTGACTTGCCCAGGGTTGCACAGCTGGTAAATGTCTGATACTAGATTTGAATTCAGGTCTTTCTGACACCAGGTCTCACCTAGCTAACTCTGTTGCCTAAGGTAAAAGATCTCACTAGGAGCCTGAAGAATTAAGGGCACCAAAGATACACTGTGTATCATCCATTAAGCCCCATTACTGGCAGGTATTCTCAGGGTCCCCATCTTCCCACATAAGATTCAATAACCTAGGGACAGCTGGGTGGCTCAGTGGATAGAGCACCAGCCCTGGGGTCAAGAGACCTGAGTTCAAATCCGGCCTCAGACACATAACACTTACTAGCTGTGTGACCCTGGGCAAGTCATTTAACCCTATTGCCTAGCCAAAAAAAAAAAAGATTCAATAACGTTCTACTTCATCTACTTCATCTACCCCAGGTTCTCAAGGTCCTGCAATTTAGGGTGATTTATTTTTCATCTCTGCTGCCCCAGTTTCTGACCTCCTGAAGAGAATGACTATGGGCCAGCATTAGACTTGCCTGGTTCTGGGCCAGAGAAGATCCTGCCCTGGTCCACTACCCACCTACAGCGCCCTTTCCATACTGTATGAAGTACTGACTACCAGGCAGGCACCTTAGGAGACCCTGGAGACAGAGGCAAAGACAAAGATGAAACCATCCCTACATCCGAGCAGCCTCCATTCTTTGGGGAATTCATAGGATGCATGAAAAAGGGTAATAAACAAGGCAGAGGCATCTAGAATTCAAACTACTAGGGCCAGGGAGGCCTGACACAAAGAATGTGGTACAAATTCATTGCAAACACTGTAGATCATTGGGGGGGGGGAGAGAAATCTAGATAAACTTATTAATATATACAGACCCAGCACACAGAACTTTCCCAATTAATAAGGCATTTTTAAAATGAAAATAATACAAATATTCTAACTATGAGGATAAACAAAGTCCTCTGCCTTCTGAACTAGCTCCAATTGCTGTTATGGGAACGTCTCTTCACAATGAGCCGGCCTGGAAGCCAGGGCCACCAACAAAGGCCCAGAAAGGTGTGGGGGTGGGGGAGGGATGTGTAATTCAATCCTAAACTAGAATCTGCCGTCAGCATCAGCTTGGGGCTGCGGGCTCTGGGACACTTCCAGCAGACAGTCCCCTTTGTCGAGGAAAAGAAAAATAAAGAGATGCAGAGGCATACTGAAGAAATTTAGTCCCCGTGTTGCATAAAATACTACCGAACCACAACTTTCACAAAAAAACTTGAACCCTGCCATTCTAGCCACTCTGGGAACTCCCCCTCCTCTGGCACAACCAGCCATAAGCTATTGTCTTTAACTTCTTTCGGAGGCAATTTGGGCATGGGGTGGTGTTCTATCCATATCTATCTATTCTCAAGTTCAGAGAAATTAACAAGATGGCCAAGATTACCCAGCTATTAAATTTCAGTGGTGGGATTTGAACCCAGGCTTTCCCGACTCTCAACCCAGTACCTGGATCGATTATATTAGCTTCCTCTCTCAACCTCTCCCCTTAAACCACAAATCAAAGACCAGATCGAACTTGACATTCATTGGATTAAAAAAACCATAAGTTCTTATAGTCATCTTTTCTCTGTTGTAAAAGATTAAAGATCACTCCTAATGTTGACTGAAAAGACATTTAAGAAGCACTCTGCATTAATGTGCTACCATATTGTATTTATTATAAAGCAAAATCATTTGCCACTGTTCAGACAAAGAGAAAAAAACTCTCATGAGATACAAGTTGATGGCAAATGAAGACCAGAGTTGTCCTTACTTGTGGAAACATCTATCAATTGGTCTGGAGCAAAGAGTCTAAAGGGATGGAGAAGTAGGGAGTGAAAGTGGTACAAATCATAGGGTTAGATTTGGAAAGCAACAAAGGGACCTAAGGGCAGAAAAAAAAAAAGGAAATTGCTTTGATAAGCATAATTAACAACCCTCAACGTTCAAGGCCAATGCTCCCTAAACACTGCTATTCTCCGGGGCACCATGCACAGCTTCAAGACCATTTTGGAAGAATTCCAGTTGGCAAAGGAGATCTGTGTGGTGGGCAGAAGAAAGAGGGAACAAAAACCGACCGAGATACAGGCATGGAAAGTAGCTCAAAGGGAATCATCAGAGGGGTGGGCATGAGGACCAGGCCGGCTGCCAGGGTGAGGGTTAAACAACCTATGGCTTATATGCAGCACTGAGACCCACCTAAGTTCTGGAGAGCCAGAAGAAGGCCCCTGGCCCACTGGGCAGAGGACTCTGGCAGAGAGTATAGGAAAGGACTCAGGCAAGAGTTCCAGGGGATATAAGAGATGGAAAGGTTGCAACCTGCACCACTGCAGGGAGGGTCCATATCAAGGAATATTTGGGTCCACCAAGAAAAGGTCTTACAGGCAGGTACTGAGGGTATGAGAATAAGTAAGATACAGTCCACTCCCTTGAGGAGATCAGATTCTAATAGAAGAAATACAATTGATTTTAAAACAAATAATTATAACATAAAATTAAATTTAAGAGTATTACTTGATTATATTTGTTACAAGGGATATTTGTGGGGAGGGGGACAGGGAAAACGGGTGGGGGTGAGTAAGGAGATAGTGATGGTGATGCCAGAAAAAAAAATTTAAGAAAAAGAGACAAGAAAATATTTCCAAAATTCACAGCCAAAAGTGGAAGAGAGTTCAGAAGAGGCCAAAGACAAGCAGAACAGTGTTGGAGCTACCATTGTAAATTCAATACACACTTTAAGAAACCTGTACATAGTAGAAAGTCATATCATATACAGTCAT